TTAGGTGACCTAACAAACAGTATGTTATACTGTACTACATACTGTTTGTTAGGTCACCTAACTAATGTACGCCAACAAAGTTGGCGTACATTAGTAAGGGTGGATCGATTTTAAAAATTTTTGAAATTTGATTTGCCTGAGCTGCGAATCGATGTCTTTTGGTGAAAAAAGAACCTTACTTTTTTTTTTTTCAATTTAAATGAGTTTTAGTGGTTCCTCTTTGGGTTCTAAATTTATGACGGATCCTAATATTGTTGAAATTTTTTTTCTTCTAAACTATATCAACCTGGTACTCAAAAGAAGCTTATTTTAAATATAATATTTGTTTTAATTTAACACTAAAAAGAAAAAAATAATGCCGTTTTTTCATTAAAAAAACAGCATTATTTTTTCATCTTTTTTTGTCGTCTGGTTTGAAATGCGTTTTATTAAAAACGGCTAATAAGACGTACGTAGTTATAATTATAATTCATCCGTCTTCATTAAAACGGGGGTTTTAAGGTATATTTTTGCAAATATTTTTTTCACTAAAAAGTTTTTTTTAAGAAAATTATTATTGATAAAACAAGCATTTTTTTCTGCTTTTTTTGAGTCCAAGCTTGATATGAAACAGCAATTAAAACATTAAAAATTAACAAAGGTCAAGGTATCGACAATAAGTAAACCCATTTTTCATATATATAACTCTTCAATAATTATTGAAGAATTGTACCCGACTATTTAAAAATAGCTAAAATTATTCCTATCTATAAATCCGGAGATACATCCTCCTTAAATAATTACAGACCAATATCAATCCTTCCCGTATTTTCAAAACTGCTCGAACGAATAATCTACAATCGTTTATATAAATACCTAACCACAAACAAAATCCTGAATGAAAACCAATATGGTTTTCAAACTCAGCACTCGACAGAGCATGCTATCGTCAATAGGATTAGTGAATCAATCTATGAAAAGAAGTTCGTATTAGGAGTCTTTGTAGACTTGTCAAAAGCGTTCGACACAATAAATCATGAAATCCTACTAAAAATATTGGAAAAATACGGATTAAAAAACCATACACTGCAGTGGTTTAAAAGTTACCTGTATAATAGACAACAGTGTGTTATTACAGATGATAATTACCACAGTAAATTATTAAAATTAACTTGGGGTGTTCCTCAAGGTTCGATTCTTGCTCCTCCTTTGTTCCTTATCTATATAAACGACCTTCCAAAAGTTTCTAGCAAACTTGAATTTATAATGTTTGCAGACGATACAAATTTATTTTACTCTTCGACAAACATCAAGGATCTGTATGATAATGTAAACATAGAACTCCAAAAATTAAATATATGGTTTAAAACAAATAAGTTATCCCTAAACATAGAAAAATCGAAATACACTTTATTTCACTCAAACCAACAAAGAAACACACTACCAAATATTCTACCCTCTCTAAATATAGAAAATATAGTAATTGAGAGAACTCACGAAACTAAATTTTTAGGAGTTATAAATGATAAAAATTAATCTTGGAAAAGTCACATAAATGCTTTAAACACTAAAATATCAAAAAACATAGGTCTACTTTATAAAGCAAAACCTATGCTGTCGCAAAGTAATTTAAAACTTATATATTTCTCTTTTATACATAGCTACCTCATATATGCGAATATAGCTTGGGCGAGTACGCATATAACCAAATTGAAAACTTTATATCGACGTCAGAAACATGCTGTAAGACTAATCTACCATAAAGACAAATTTACACACACTGAACCCTTATTTAAAGAAATGAATGTGCTTAATATTTATCAAATTAATATTTACCAAAATATATTGTTTATGCTAAAATTTAAATTAGATCAAGTACCAAACCATTTTTTAAATAACTTTTTTATAAATAACGTTAATAAATATAACACAAGAGAAAAAGGAAACTTTATTACACCTTTCAAAAAAACAAAACTTTCCCAGTTCTCAATTTCATATCGGGTCCTTATTTATACAACAAACTAGTAACTAAAAATAAATCAATTTGCAATCTAGATTCAATTTGCAATTAAAAATCCTTGAAAAAAAAGTTAAAAAATCTGATACTGAATCTAAACAGATACTCAGAATTCTTCTAAGACTATAAATTAAAATACATATACATCAACTACAAAGTGAACTGACTCGTTTATGTGTATTATCTAAATGACTCTTACCTTTCCCAAACAATACATCAAAAATTGTTTATTACACACAAAAAAAACACTTGATTTTTTCTTATCAAGTTTAGTTATTATGCTGCTTGTTATGTCTAATATTTTATACTGAGCTTATTTTGAGTTTATTTTTTATTATGAGCTTAATTTAAAGAATATAAAAATATAGTTGTACTTAATATATAATTATATTTAACATAATCATAATATATATCAAACACATTGTAAGGGCTTCGTGATAAGATCATTACGATCTTCTTGAAGTCCTGCCTGTACTATTTAATTATAAATTTCACTATAAATTTTGACTCACGAGACTTGTAAATATTACAACTTTTAATTTACGAAACTTGTAAATGTTATATGTACGACAAATATATGAATAAAAAAAATATATATATGGTTTAGAAAAAAAAAAATTCAAAAATATTAGGATCCGTCAAGGATTTAGAATCCAAAGAGGAACCTCAAGATCTCATCAAAATCAAAAAATATTTTTTTACTTTCATCTTATAATTAATAGACATCGATTCGTGTCTCAGGAATATTTTTTTTTTTTTTTTTTTTTTTTTTTTTTGCTATGAAAATCGATCCACCCTAGTATGTATTGCATTCTCTAACATCGTGTGCAATCATGTCCGCTCACTATGCTATCTTTCAAACTCGACTACTTCTATCTTTCACTCTAACATATCTTCGTTCTTCCAAAACTCACCTTACTCTCAGTCCGTAGAGCGGGTATGACGTTCCTTCGGGAGCTCAACTAGTCTTTGCGGACTTCTGGTAAGGTGACCTCTATATGGCAATTAGCCGGAGGAGGTTAAACCACAATACCAGCATTTCAAACCATACTTTTACAAAAATAAAAAATGAATTAGTTTATTATTGCTTGTTTAACCAATTGACTTTCATATGATCATCAGTAAATTATTTGCTAGTTAATTGTTTACGTAATTGATTAACTGTTTAGTAATTATTTAGGAACCAATTTATTTAATAAAGCACAATAAAATGTTTTTTTTACGACGCACAGTGAATCGTTTCATAGGGTGGAATGCAAGAAGCGAGCCTGAAGTTTGAAGTCAAAGAGCGAACTTGAACTCAAATTCTAACTCGAGTCTAACTTGAATCTGGTCGTTTTCAAGTTAGACTTGAAAAGTCAACTTGAAATTTAAAGTTATACTTCAAATCTGAAGTCTAACTAAAGTGTTATGCAAGTAACAAACTTGAAATGAATTCTTGAAAAATCTGATTTCAAGTCGTTTTTTTAAGTTAGGCACCGACCAGTCTTGAAACCAAACTTCAAATAAAAAAACAAACCGCCATTATTATTTTGTGTAATATGCGGTAAAAAGTTACATATATGTAACTTTTTCAATTTAATCAATTCATGAGTCAATTACTCATGAATCATTAGGCCACGTGAATAAAAATGAGCAATTGCTTTTACTGAGTAATTGGTCAGATTTACGTGAATAAAAGCTTTAGCAGTTTCGGTCAAATTTTTATTTACGTAAAGTTAAGCAATTTACTCAGTATTTGTCCAGCTTTATGTAAATAAAAACTTGACTAAAACTGCTTAAGTTTTTATTCACCTAAAGCTGACCAAACACAGAGTAAAAGCAATTGCTCATTTTTATTCACCCGGCGTATTATATAAACACATTTCACGGCGTACTATATAAATACATTTCACTGAACAACAACTGTCAATTGTATATCTGTATTATGTTGTTGGTTCATTACAGGTGAGAAAGTATTTATATTATCACTATAATTATATTTTAATAAATAATATATATATATATATATATATATATATATATATATATATATATATATATATATATATATATATATATATATATATATATAATATATATATATATATATATATAAATTTGGGTGTCCCAGCCGCCCTTTATATTCTAAAAAAGATCTGCTCATATTCTTAAAACGTTCTATTGGTTCTCACAAGAAACTCTCTAAAATTTTTTTCAAAATTTTATTGGATTTCGGGGGAGCACAAGACCCTTCAACACTTACCGAGTCCCTAGTATTATTATAAAATAAGTTTTTTAAAAGTATATCATGTTGGGTTTCAAAAGAAGCAAAGTTCAATAAAAAATTTCAAAAGAAACAATCATTTTATAAAAATATTATTATTAAATTTTTTTTTGGGAAGTATTATTAAAAAAACACACTTTTTTTTGCAATAAGTTTTTAAAATAATAATTTTTTAATAAAATGGTTTTGTAAATTTTTATATAATTTCGTTTCTTTTGAGACCCAAGATGATATACTTTTGAAAAACTTTTTATAATAATATTAGGGACCTGGTAAGTGTTCAAGAGTCTTGTGCTCCCCCTAAATCCAAAAAAATTTGAAAAAATTTAACCCAAATATACATACATATATATATATATATATATATATATATATATATATATATATATATATATATATATATATATATATATATATATACATACAGGGCCGGTGCACCCTATAGGCGAACTAGGCAATCGCCTAGGGCGCCAAAGTTTAGGGGCGCCTAAAAATTGATAAGTTTTTTTTTATGCTAACAAAAAACAACGCTTTTGCTCATTGAGCAATATGTACGTACATTTTACCGAACGCAATCTAAATCATAACAAATATGGCGGCGTCTTTACAATCAAAGTGATTTTCATAACAACTTTCAATAGTTAGTCGACTATATTCTTTATATAATTTATACTGACAATATATATATATATATATATATATATATATATATATATATATATATATATATATATATATATATATATATATATATATATATATATATATATATATATATATATATATATATATATATATACATATAGATGAATAGTGACATTCTATATACTATTATACATTTATATTAAGTTTTAGACACTTATTAAGAAAAGTAAAATATTTTTTATATGAATATATAATAACTAGCTTAAATCTAGGGCTATTATATATTACGTATTATATTATTATTATACTTCACCATACGTATAACTTTGCTATACAAAATAAAATTTGAATTATTTAAACACAATGCATCTAGCAGGTTAAATTTTTTGTTGAGTCGCTTCTACAATATGTCTTGATCTGCACCAGCTAATTACACATTGAAATCTCATTCATATAGCTAACTTCCATTTCCATTTAAAAAAACACAAAAAATACTAGCAGGACGTATAACTTTGCCAAGTTGTTTTTTGTATAATACAGTTAAATGATAACCTGTTAAAACCTTACAGAGCTGTTCAGACCTGTTGGAAACTATAGCTAGCTATATATAATTTATTCTTAAAGCCAATCACAGAAGACCTATTAATGTATTAGTTAAACATCGCAACATTCATTTATTTTATTATTTTCTTGTTACATTTCAGATATGGCTGAGAGAAAGAAGCCTTCAGGAGCTCAATATCGTAAACGAAAAGTTGAACAGCAGAGGGAACAAGAAAAACAGAAGGGTTCATTGCTAAAGTTTATATGCCGACAAGACTCTACTAAAGAGGATAGTAATGGTGGACAGATTCCCACTGATATGGAAGCTGAAGAAATATCTAATGTTGTTGATAATGATAATGTGATGATGAGTGAAACACTTTCTTACTCAACAGTTCCCGTTTCCCATGCAGATAATGGCCAATTGAATAATTCTCTCGAGGAACATGTACAGCAAGCAAGTGAAGAAAAAACGGATAATGTTATTTCACAGGATCCAGCACTTTGGCCTCTACTAATTAATCATAATACACGTGCAATCATTGTAGAACGTGGACCTCAGCAAATAAAAGATATCAGTTTCCCAAATGATAAAAACAATCGAAAGTTTTCAGTATTTCACTACTTAAGAAAACTTCCTAATGGAAAAGAATTATGTCGCAGCTGGCTCTTGTATTCAGTATTAAAAGACTCAGTGTTTTGTTTCTGTTGCAAACTGTTCAGTATGAAAGCAATTGGCATACCATCACTAACTCATACAGGTTCAAGTGACTGGAAAAACATGGCGGCAATTCTTTCTTCCCACGAGAAAAGTCCTGAACATTTGCAGAACTATCAAAAGTGGAAAGAACTACATCAGCGATTACAGAGGGATAGTACAATAGATGCAGAAATTTTGCGCAAGATGAAGAATGAAAAAAAGTATTGGCAGCAAATACTAAAGCGTTTAATAGCATTAGTGAGAGTTTTGGGTGAACAGAATCTAGCTTTTCGCGGTACAAATGAAACATTGTACAGTGCCAATAACGGGAATTTTTTAAAATTTGTGCAATACTTAGCCATTTTTGATCCATTAATGAACGAACATCTACGAAAGATATCAAATAAAGAGCTTCATACACACTATCCTGGCAAAGATATATAAAATGAACTTATTCAACTGTTAGGAAATGCTATTAAGAAAGAAATCATACAAACAGCAAATGCAATGAAATATTTTTCAATAGTTCTCGATGGTACTCCTGACTGTAGCCATGTTGAGCAAATGACAATAATTATTCGTTTTGTTAAAGTTGATTCATTGAAAAAGGAGTTTAGTATCAAAGAACATTTTTTAGTCTTTGTACCTTTAAAGAAAACAACTGGAGCCTATATGGCAGAAACGATAATACAACAACTAGAAGAAATGGAGTTACCTATTGATATGTTACGTGGCCAAGGCTACGATAATGGCGCAAATATGATAGGCAAAAATAATGGTGTTCAAAAGAAAATATTAAACATTAATCCTCGAGCATTGTTTGTTCCTTGCAGCGCGCATACTCTTAATTTGGTTGTCAATGATGCTGCAAATTGTTGTCTAATGGCTACAAGTTTTTTTGATATTGTCCAACGTGTGTATGTATATTTTTCGTCTTCAACACATCGGTGGGTAGTTTTCACTAGTCATCAACCTACGTTAACTGTTAAACCTCTAAGTGAAACAAGATGGGAAAGCAGAATAGATGCTATAAAGCCTTTGCGATATGAACTTGGTAAAATATATGATGCACTGCTAGAAATAGCTGATGATACTTCTCAAACTGGATCCTCAGGAAGCACTGCACGCAGTGATGCTAAAGCACTTGCGAATAGTGTTGCAAAGTTTAAGTTCGTGGTTTCAATTGTTGTATGGTACAACATACTTTTTGAAATCAATATAACAAGTAAGCAGCTCCAAGCTAAAGATTTGGATATTCATGCTGCTGTACAACAATTACAACACACACAAGCCTATTTGGTTGACTGTAGGAGTGACATAGGTTTTGCAAGAATGCTAGTGGATGCTGAAACTGCTAAGGATTTGGAGGTACCACCAACCTTTGAGGCAGAACCACGATTACGGCGGAGAAAAAAGCAATTTGCATATGAAGCTGAAGATGAGCCTGTGCAAGATCCAAAACAAAATTTCAAAGTGAATTTTTTCTTTGCTATACTTGACACAGCAATAAGGTCGGTTGAAGAAAGGTTTGAACAAATGAGTATTTGGTTTCTTATATCATATTCTTAGTCTACAGAGTAAAACTTCACAAGAAATATTGGAATGTTGCATGAAACTAGAATCTGCTTTACAACATGGTGATAACAGAGATTTAGTTGCATCAGATTTGTGTGGCGAACTACAGTCTTTTGCACGACGACTTTCTGAAGAAACAAAGTCTCCTTAAGATGTTTTTCGATTTATTCTTTGCCAAAACTTGGAAGACAGTCTACCCAACCTTTGTATTGCTCTTCGTATTTTGCTGACATTACCTGTTTCTGTCGCTAGTGGAGAGCGTAGTTTTTCCAAACTAAAATTGATAAAGACATACATTCGATCATCCATGTGCCAAGACAGATTGGTTGGGTTGGCAACTCTTTCCATTGAGCACGAACTTGCAGACAAGCTGGACCTGAAGGACCTTGTGATCGATTTTGCCCAGAAAAAGGCACGCAAAGTACAGTTTTGATATTTTTAAATAAATAAATACTTACCTGGTGTTTTCACTTTATTTTGCATTTTATTTTGATTTTTTTACGTAAAAGGGGTGCGATTTTTGAAGTTTTGCCTAGGGTGTCATAACCCCTTTGCACCGGCCCTGTATACATATATATATATATATATATATATATATATATATATATATATATATATATATATATATATATATATATATATATATATATATATATATATATATATATATATATATATATATATATATATATATATATATATATATATATATATGTTAGTTAGTTAGTTAGTAGTAAATGCTGTAACTGGCCAGTGAGTGTGTTATTAGGCACACTTTGACAGCCGATATAATCGATTGCAGCTCATCAAGCAATCAATTGCTGCTTTAAAGCTGTTGACTGAAGGCGATTTAACAATTTCTTCTGGTAGAGAGTCCCATAAAATCGCTGCTCGGTTAAAGAAGAAGTTTTCTCTGTACTTATGTTTTGTCAATTCCTTAGAAATTTTAAAGCAGTGTCCTCTTGTATGATTGTCAACAATCGGAAAACGAATGCTTTTTTTCTAATTTATCAAAATTATTCATAATTTTATACATTTGTATTAGATCTCCTCTTTGTCTTCCTTCTACTAGAATAGTTAAGTTTAGTTCTTCGAGTCTTTTTGATTATGAAAGATTTCTGATTGATGATACTACCCTAGTAGCAAACAATATTGGCGCAATATTGGGGCGATATTGTTTACAATATTGGCGCAATATTGGGGCGATATTGTTTACAATATTGGCGCAATATTGTAAACTATATCGGGCCAATGTTGTAATGTGAACATTTTGCCAATATTGGCCAATATTGGTGCTACAATTTTGCGCCAATACTGTTAAGTCAATATTGGCCAATATTGGCAAAATGTTTATTGCGCCAATATTGTAAATAATATCGCGCCAATAATGGGGATATTATACTGGCCAATATTGGCCTAATATAGTTTACAATATTATCCAGATATATATAATATATATAACTAAATTAAGGCTATATATTGATTAAATTTTTATTATTAAAAAATAATAAAAAATATTGCCTTCTACAAATTTTTAATAATTAAAATTTATAACAGTTTTCTTGTTTAAGTGATACTATAGTACTATGCTGCATTATTCTTTTGAGTTAAACAGGTTATAGTCTAACAGATGACAATGATCATAGAACACGCTTTAAGAAAAAAAAAAATCGAAATCATTAAATTTATTTGAAGTTATATGAAACAGATACAAATGAAAAAAAAGAGGTATAGAATTTTCCAAAACCAAAATATAACAAAATAAAATCAATGCAATTTAAATACATATACAGAAAATATGTATATATAATATATATATATATATATATATATATATATATATATATATATATATATATATATATATATATATATATATATATATATATATATATATGTTTGTTTGTATTCTGTAAGTTGTTTCTCATCTCCTCCAACCGAAGTAAGAAAGTTCATCTAAAATAAGAAAACAAATGTAATATAATTGGTTGTACTAAAAGTATAATAGTTCCTCATGTGTATGTATTAGACGGTTTTCCATAATGTGATTCTTATTAAAATATGACATTATGGAAGAGTAAAAGCAATTGGTTATAAATAGATTATGACATCTGTAGCGGTGAATACACCCTACAGATGTCATAGATATCTGAGATTAGTAGTCATGGCTACACAAAATACATCGCTAACTGGGCATAAAAGATAAAAATCATAATAAAATGTAAGACAATCTCATCAGTGTCACTTTTTTTGTAACCTGCATCCTTTTAATTTGGAGGCACAGATAATTCCGTTCTAAAGCAGTCTCATAACTGTCAAAAAAAAGTATAAAGAAGAGATGAAACCATACTAAACAATCAACATTTACTATATTTGAGTCAAACATAGCTGTTTAGATAAAAAACAAAGACAAAACTGTAAATAAAACAAAAACAATATTGAAAATAAGACAATTACCAAAAAATTCTTATTTTCAGCTGCTTTCAGTTACTTTTAAAAGCGTGACTTTACGTATGGTAGCCTGAAGACAAGATGCTTGCAAGTGATTTGGCCAATACACCAACCTTTCATTGATCCAAATTACATTGAAAAACAGATTACATTCATGGCACAAATATTGTTTTTTTATTGAAAAATTCAGCCAGAGCAAATTTTATAAACTTTATTACCACCTTCAGTTTAACGGTACATCAGCTAAAAAATAATCACAAATAAATTTATGATATAAAAAAACTTCAGATTAACTTTTTTTTCAGATTATTATTTTTTTAAGTGAAAATATTAGTCTAAAAATTATTGAGTTTCATTTCTTAATGTTTAATGTAATCGCTTTTTATTTCGAGTTTAATTATTGTTTAGTAAAAAAAAGTGAACTTTAAATTTTGTGCGGTTTGGAAAGGTTTCTATGATAATATTTTCTTATTTAAATATGACATTAAGGAAGATAAACAACTTGAGGCTCTAAGTAAATATTTACCCCAAGATTACGAGATTTAAATTAGCATGAGATCAAGATCTCATGCTTAATTGAATAAGTTAGCCAGGCATAGAATATTTTTCTCATTTATGGAACACTGAAAAAAAGTGTTTTTAATATACAACACTAAAAAAATAAACTTAAAACCTATTCGGTGTTTATATATATATATATATATATATATATATATATATATATATATATATATATATATATATATATATATATATATATATATATATATCGATGGTTAAGAGCACAAAGGGAATATGTCCAACATTTTACGGTCTTGAGTTATTGTGCAGATATTGTATTAAAGTATGTAAAAGAAATGAAAATAAAATAGTAAAAAACAAGACAGAACTAATTGAGGAATGCATTTGGTTAAAAAACATGACAATAAATAAATATCATGAATTATTGTATGTTTTCAAACTTTCAAATTCAGATTTCTCAAAATAATGGTTAGTGGACATATTCCCTTTGTGCTCTTAACGATCGATATATCTATATATATATATATATATATATATATATATATATATATATATATATATATATATATATATATATATATATATATATATATATATATATATATATATATATATATATATATATATATTTATATATATATATATATATATATATATATATATATATATATATATATATATATATATATAGTATATATATTACTGTTACCCGCAGTATCAGGAATTAGCTAAATGCTAATATTTATAATATTATATTGCGACTTAAAGTTTCATGTGTTACCACAATCATCAGGCAAGTAGTCAAAAGTTAATTTTGCTACAATGTGTTTAGAAAAAATTTACGGTTTTTATTAGTATTTTAGATCGTTATGGGACGGAAATTGTTTAGTAGTTAAGGTTAATGTTATTATTAATTTGTTTTTAGTTAATATATGTGAAGTTCTTGTATGTTTTAATGTCTGTTATAAAAATACGATTTAATAATAATGTAAATTGTTTTTAAAAATTGTTGTATTAAAAATAAATGAATATAAAAATAATTTTCAAAAGTGCGTATTAGAATATAAATTATATTACGAAATAAATTACAAAAGCTGTGTATGTGAATAATTTATTGGTTTGCCTAGAGGTGTACGAAATAGGGTTGCGTAGTTAATGTTAGTGGTTAGTTAGGTTTGTAGCGAACTTTGTAGTTTTTAAATAAAAACTTTTTTTCGTGGCGGCACTTTGATATGATTTCGTTTCATTTATTTAGGAGTTCATCAGGTTTATGATAGGATATAATTGCGAATTTCTCGTATAGACATAGTGGGCACCTAAGTCGCAATATAATATTATAAATATTAGCATTTAGCTAATTCCTGATACTGCGGGTAACAGTAATATATATACTATATAGTTTATTATATTATAGTAATATATATACTATATAGTTTATTATATAGTTCTAGTTTATCTATTGAGCACTCTTTAAAATATACATTATTATACATGATAATATAAAGAAATCATCTTTAATATTTACATATATGCACCCACGTGTGTATATATATATATATATATATATATATATATATATATATATATATATATATATATATATATATATATACATATATATATATATATATATATATATATATATATATATATATATATATATATATATATATATATATATATATATATATATACATATATATATATATATATATATATATATATATATATATATATATATATATATATATATATATATATATATATATATATATATATATATAATAAAATCTTATAACAGTTAGAAACAATAATAATGACGTATTTATTTCTTAAACAAGTATCTTTAACAAAATAAATAGACTATAAAACTTATATTTTATAGATAAAATTTTCTTAAACTGTTTTCGATTAAGAGTAAACTTACTATTTTAATCTTGATACTTAAGTATAGCAATATTTTTCCTATTCTTCTCGTGATTCAATATGTTTAAAATCAATTACAACCACTTATTCTCGTAATTCAATCTGTAAATGTTGAATAAGAGAATTTTATTACTCTTACCACTTCTTCTCATGATACAATCTGTTTCAAAATAAGAAAAGAATATGACTCAGATGAGTCAAATAGAAAAGGATATGACTCAGATGAATCTGAGGGATCAGGTAAATTATATCTTAATCTTTAATTCAAAAATTTCAAAATAAATTACCAACACTTCTTCTCCTGATTCACTCTGTAAATGTTGAATTAAAAATACTTTTCCTACTTCTTCTCTTTTCATAAATAAAAATTTTTATTTGAACTCTTATTTGTTTTTGTAAAAAAATTGGCGGAGGTGTATTTGATTCACGTGTGATTAAAACGATGATTTATTTTGGCTATTTTTAATTGAAATTAACTAAGAAATGCTAACCTTCCCTAACCCCATGAATCAAACACACCTCCAACAAAAAATCAATAACAGAAGGATGTCTGTTTATGTAAAAAGATGCTATTATATACATTTAACAAAAACATTTAAACACATTTTACAAAACTAAAGGACATTATGAATATTCCTTAATGTTACACACGCATACCAATATGTAAAATTTAGTATAAAGCCAATATTGGCAAACAATATTTCGCCAATATTGGCATAACAATATTAGTAAAATGATAATGGGATAATATTGGCGCAATATTGTTTGCCAATATTGGTAAGACAATATTGGCGTAATATTGGCGCAATATCAGATATCTTGGCCGAGATTAGCCAAGATACCCAATATCGCGCCAATATTACGCCAATATTGTTTGCTACTTGGGTAGTTTAGTAGCTTTGTGCTGGATTTTTTCAATATAGTCACAATCTAATTTAAGAAATGAAGACCTTACTAGAACTGCAAACTCCAGTAATGGACGAACAAAAGTAATATAAAGCAAACGAAGTAACTTGTAATCGAAACAAACAAATGATTTTTTGATTCGACCAAGTATTTGATTTGCTTTGTTAGAAGCATTAATAACTTGATTTTTTTATTTTAGGTTTGTATTGAAAAGTACTCTCAGATCTCTTTCTGTGTCTGACTCCGTTAATTGAATTCTATTTAAATTATATAAATAGTTTTTGTTATTGTGGCCATAATGCATAACCAAAATGTGTATTTTGGTATGTTAAACAGAAGTAGCCAAGTTTGAGACCATTTGTAGACAGTATCTAGATCATTTTGAAGATTAGTAGCGCATAGCTCTAATGATAGAGAAAGCACTTTTGTATCATCAGCATATAATTTGGTTACATTAAGCAGTTTTTTTGGAAGGTCGTTAATACATAAAACAAATAAAAGTGCTGCAATTACCGAACCTTGTGGTACACTACTAAAAATCTTAACCCAGTCAGAAATGATTTCACCTTGAACAACTCTTTGTCTTCTGTTTTCTAAGAAAGCTGCAATCCATTTAAATAGCAGACCATCAAAGCCGTAAGTTTTTAGTTTGGCTAACAGTCTCCTATGCGGAACTGTGTTGAAGGCTTTAGCAAAATCTAACAAAATTACATCGACTGGAATACCAATATCTAAGCCTGATGAAATGTAGTCAATGCTTTCTAAAAGATTAGTGGTACATGATTTGTTTCAAACGAAACCATGTTGCTTTTTTGCTAATAGATTATTTTTATACAGGTACTCTTCCATTTTAGCTCTAATTATACTTTCCATAATTTTACATGGAATAGAAGTCAATGAAACTGGACGATAATTGCAGGGAAGAGTCTTATCACCTTTTTTGAATAGGGGCGTTTCGTTCGCTGATTTAAATTGAACTGAAAGCTGACTATTAGTTAAAGATGCCCTAATAATTAATGTTAGAGGAATAGCAAATGCTTCAGCACAGTTTTTAAGCAGAAATGGATGCATACTATCAGGACCACATGCTTTATTTTGATTAAGGTTTTTTAATTTATCTAATGTCATTTCGTAGCTGATATCATTTGGATCTAGATCAACATATTTTGAGTGATTTTCATTAAATTCAACTGTGAAATGTGAAAGTTTCCCTTCTTTTTCACTTACAAAAATATCTTGGAAACATTTATTAAGTAGAATAGCTATCTCTCTAGGTTCTTGAGTTAGATTACCATTAGCTGTTTTTAAGGCTCTGATTGATTCTTTGACTAGTTGTTGGCTATTTAGGTATTTATACAGAAGTTTCGGATTCAATTTGGATCTTTTAACTAAATCATTTTCATATCCAAGACGAGCTATTTTAATTTCTTTTTCAACTAGCTTGCAAGTCAATTTGTACTCTTTACACATAGTAAGATCTTTCCATTTACAAGCACAGTTCAGGTATCTAAGATTTTTCTTTTTTTTAGTTAGAGTTTTAAGATCATTTTTTATCCATGGAGCAATTTAGTTTTTACTTCGAGATACATCAAGAACTGGAATGAATTGATTACATGCTGCATTCGAAAAGTGAACTATTTTGTCGTACATTTCCTGAACAGATAAAGTTTCAAATAGCATTACCCAACCAACATTTGTAATAAAGTCAAAGATTTTATTGGTGTCAGCTTTTTTGTAATTAAACTTTAAGTAGCTGTGCAATAAGTTATTAACCCTATTTTTAATAATGAAATCAAAAAAGATAACCATATGACCTTTATTTATGCATAGTCATAAAATACATAGTCTGGCCAGTTAAAAAGCGCTATTGTTTATCTTTTTGTTAGCATTTTTTTAGAACCCAGTCTACCAATGAGTGCACACTTTTTGTAAACAAAGACGCGTTAAAAACAATATTTACAAAAAAGTTATTAATTTAACCTTGTTATTTGCAAATGCCTGGTGCTAATTGTTCCATTTTTGGCTGTGGTACTTCTCGAAAAAATAAAGGTGTTTCACTTTTTAAAATACCATCCTCCGATGATGATTTCAACAAAGAATGGAGAATAAAAGTTTTGAATAGGTCCCAAATAAAAAAAAAGTTATTGTTTATTTGTGAAAAGCATTACGAGGCTAACATGTTAATTATTAACCCAAATAAAACTACTTTAAAACCAGGTTCACTACCTACATTAAATCTTCCAGTTAAAATCTTCCAGCTTCTTCTATATCCCTAAAGAAATCAACTTTTCCTTCTATTTTAGATGAAGCAGTCCATATTAAATCATATAAGTCTTTTAAGGAGTTGGTCAAACGCATTAGTCTACAAAAACTTGATTTGGATGTAAATATTAGTGACACTTTTTTAAAATTGAGTAAGATGGACGATATTCACATTGTTCCTAAATACGAAATTTATATTGATGATAGCCTCTCGTTTATTATTCGTATATTTTTATGGGCTCTGCCAGATAATCATGAAATATACTTGCATCTAAAAAGATCAATGTTTAATACAACTGTTTGTAACCTTATTTCAGTTTTGCTGTCATATATAGTATGTCCAGGTATCCCAGATAAACTAATTAGCTCCCACGGCTATCTTCTTCATGTTATACCTAAAAATTTTGATTTATTTAATAGTTATTTTTTACCTTTAAACCAAACAGAACATACCCGAGCTCTTTCATGTGAAGTTGTTATTTAAAAAAATGATATTTGTAAAGGATGCCAATGTCTTCAGTCTCAAAATAAATTATCTGTTAAAAAAAATAGTGATAAATTACTTATTCCAGCTAAACTTAAAGCTCCGATTTCTAAAACTGCACCAGAACGTGTAAAGCTAACCCTACAAAGTTACCGTTTAGAAAATAAATTGCTTAAAGGTAAAATCAAAGAAATGCAACAGGAGTTAAATAAGTCATCACATCTTGTCAGTGATGACCTACACAAAGACTTTGTTTCAATCATATCAAAAAATGATAGTACAGTCACTCCATTTATGAAGTTATTTTGGGATGAACAACAAAAATACTTATATACTTCAAAACAGGGAATTCGTTATCATCCAATGATTATTCGCTATTGTTTAGGTCTGGTTTCAAAGTCGCCTGCTGTTTATGAGGAAATTCGTTTCAATGAAAAAACAAATTCTGGATTTGTCATTTTACCAAGTCAAAGGCGTTTGAGAGACTACAAAAACTATATCCGACCACAAAGAGGTTTTAACCATGAAATTGTAAATGAACTGAGTTTAAAGGTAAAGAATTTTTCTCATCAAGAACGGTTTGTTACACTTTTATTAGATGAAATGAAAATTCAAGAAAATTTGGTATGGGATAAATATTCTGGTGATCTTATAGGATTTGTTGACCTTGGTGATACTAATATTAACTATGCAACTCTGAATAAGGCTGATGAAATTGCAACACATGTTCTTGTTTTTCTTGTCAGAGGTATTGTAAACCCTTTTAAATATAGTTTTGCAAACTTTGCTACAACAAATATTCAAGCTATTCAGTTATTCCCCTTATTTTGGAAAGCTGTCAGTATTTTAGAGCTTTCATGCAATCTAAAAGTAATTGCTACTACAAGCGATGGTGCCTCATGTAATCGTAAATTTTTTTCTATGCATTTTCATATGACGGAGATGCAAGATAATAATAAAAATGTTAAATTTACTTATTGCATCAAAAATAAATTTGCTGATGATGATCGATATATATATTTCATAGCTGATCCTCCACATTTGATAAAAACTGCTCGAAATTGCCTTTTTCATTCTGCTTCAGGTAAAGGGAGATATATGTGGAATACTGATAGTCACATTTTGTGGAATCACATATCAGATTTATTTTATGAAGATCTAAACTGTGGCCTTCACACGTGTCCGAATCTTTCCTTAGAACATATTAGGTTAAGCCCATTTTCCAAAATGAATGTAAGATTAGCAGCTCAAGTACTCAGTTCATCTGTTAGCATTGCTTTGAAGACATTTGGTCCAGCTGAAGCCTCTAGAACTGCTGAGTATTGTCAAATGTTCAATAATTTTTTTGATTGTGTCAATGTGAAAAATATTGTAGATTGCACTAGAAAGAAAAATCCATTTTCTGAGCCATTTTATTTGATAAGTGATGAAAGACTAACATGGTTGACTGAAGTTTTTTTAAAATATTTTGAAGATTGGAAATTGTCTATTGATCAAAGACCTGGAAAATTCACTAAGGCTGATCAAAGGAATATGTTTTTATCTTGGCAAACATATGAAGGTATCAATATCACTGTCCATTCAGTTGTTGATTTAGTTAAATACCTTTTAAATAGTGGTGTCCAATATGTTTTAACGGAACGGCTTTGTCAAGATTCATTAGAAAACTATTTTGGACAACAGCGAGCAATAGGAAGAAGAAAAGATAACCCATCTTTGCATGATATCGGCTATAATGACAATACAATAAGAAACCAATGTACCTTCCAACCAATAGTAGGAACTAATAGTCTTGATAGTGATCCTGAACCAAAGGCTTTTACCAAAGAAAAATTACCACGCCGAAATTGGAATAAAAAATAAGCTCATCAAAAAAAATTAAAAACGGCTTTTTTCATAGCCACAAACATTCTAAAGGCTTTATTTGGTATGAAATAATTTATTTTAATTGCTGTTGTTTTTTACAGGGTGTTGGTAGGGAGGGATCTCTCATAAATAAATAAATATATATATATATATATATATATATATATATATATATATATATATATATATATATATATATATATATATATATATATATATATATATATATATATATATATATATATATATATATATATATATATATATATATAATACTCAATCTATATATTAGGTCATATCATTTGTGCGCTTTAATTATATAAATGTGCGCTTTAATTTTTCAGAAAAAAATGAAAAAATGAAGAATAATGAAAGAAAAGATTGCTGTCAATAATGATTGCATTATTTGATATTATTACTTAAAATAAAAACTTACATAACTTCGTTTTGTTTTCACTTAATTACATATTACATCTCTCCATTGTGCTGCAATATAGTTCATATGCTAGATATGTTTTTAATAAAATTTGTGGCTATAAAAATAGCCTTTTTTAAATGTCTAATCTTTATTCAGTAAAGTTTAAAGATATTTTTTTGATTTCTTTTCTTATTGAATTTGCTCTTTTCTTCTTAGTGTTGATTTTATGCAAGTTTACAAGCTCCTTGGAATAGGAAAACGAGCGAACACGAAAATAAAGTGTTAAAAGGTGGTCTAGAAGATTGAGAGACATTTCTATAGATACCTTAGCAGAACTAGCATAACAAATTTTTGAAAAGTAAGATAAAACCTTAACATCTTGAAGCAATTCTGTTGTCATCTTGCTGCAGTCAATATTTTTACTTAAAATTTTTGTTGAATTTCTGAATGCTATTTCTGCTATTCTAAACAGTGAAAAAACATCAGATGATATAGACCAAAGACCACCTCGATTTTTTTAAATTAATAAATTTTCTATTAGTTTCATAGTCTTCAAATTCATTTTCTACAATTTTTCCAGCCAACAAAATTAAAAGTGTTTCTTGACCAAATCTACTTTGCCAAATTTTTGAATAACGTATCCTTCGATAAAAGGTACTAAATACATACCCTCCTAAATATTCAATTAACGTTTTTTCTTTTTCTGTAAACTGAATTGCATTGTCAAAAACTAAACTTTGAACTCATCTACAGAACACAGAATTGAATCTTGCTTCCGCTTTCAAAAAGATCAGACGTGTTTATTAACGTAAGAATAAATTTATATATATATATATTTTTTTTTTTATTTTTTTTTTAAATTTAACATTAATCTATAAAAAAAAAAAATTTTTATTAATAAAATTTCAACAACAACAAAAAACACTGGGAACTCTAGTCCTTGCGTAAACTGCGAAAACTATCATAATTTAACATTACAAACAATAGTTTGAAAAACATTAACAAAAGTTTTATCGTATAAAACGATATGTTGAAACAAGGAAAAGTTAGCTGTTCAGAATTATCTGATATAGTACGAGAACAGCAAGAAACCATAAAAAATTTAATAAAAAGAATAGAATTCCTTGAATCTAAACAACCAACAGTAAACGAATCTGCTAATTTTTGGTCGAAATTTTCAACGAAAACTACATCCACGGAAAAATCACTTGTTGTAAACACCATTGCAAATTCAATAATATCAGAACAGGAAAATAAAAAAAAGCGAGAAAACAATATTATAATCTTTGGAATTCCCGAATCGAGTAAAACAGATGAATCAGATACAATAAATGATGATAAATTAATGGTCAATGAAGTATTTGATTACATTGGCAAAAGCAATGAAAAACCGATTAAATTAACTAGGCTTAAAAAAAAAAAAGTTTCAAAAAATCCATC